AAGCGTGTTTAGGAAATAATCTGATTTATAACTGAAAGCTTAAGTGAATACGTTATTATTAGGAAATAGTCTGGCTTTTTCGTTAGGCTGCCAGAGGTTCTGGTTTAAAATAACTGCAGTACCAGGATGGAAACTAGTTGTAATGGAGCTGCATTTTATTGATCTGTTAGTTCTCAAAATATCCTCTTCTTGGGGTTGTACGGCAGGCTTGGTTTGAGCCATGAAAGCAATCTTTTTCTGAAAAAGTTTGAAAACACTGCAGTCTTAATTTTATGCTACTTCAGCTGCATTGCCTTGAGCATAAAGGCTTACACTGAATTGTGCTCCCAATCTAGGAGATTTTAAAAATAAAACTCACTTTGGAAATGCAAGGACAATGGAAATATATTATAAATCCAACTACACTTACTGGAAAATGTTTCTAAAAATTGCTGTTAGTATTAACAGTTTTGAGATTTTGGCAGGAAAGTAGAATATTGGAGCATACAGCTGGGTGGGGTTTTTTTTGGTGGTTTGTTATTTGGTTTTGGGTTTCTTTTTTTTTAAGGTTTGTTTCCACAGATTCACAGTTACAAATAAATGGTAAAAGGCCCCTGTACATCAGAGAATTGAAATAGCTTAACAAAATAATTAGGTTAATTGATGGCTTTGGGGATCTCAGAAAAGCTGTGCACCCACAGTTCCCCTTGATACGGTGCTGTCAGCTGCTAATTGTGCCAATAATTTAGTAGTTAATGAACGGAGAATTACTGTTGCAGTAACTTTTTAGAAGTAAATCATATTACCTTTTTGATGTAAATGTTTTTAATAGATAAATGAGCCTCAGTAGCATATATAAAGCTGTTTGATTCTGTTTCCTAACCAGTGTTTTGGATTTCTGGTGGAGTTCATTACAGCTTGCAGTGTGGTGAGCTTGGCTGTGGTGGTGGTGGCAAACTTGCAGACAAAGTGGAAATAATTGCTTTTTTTTTCCTGTTTTAGGCTTTGGGAGAATCCTTAGGACGTGGTGATGACCACTATGATATGGACATCATAACAAAGTTCTTGAAGGTAACAGACTCTTTTGGATTAATTATTCTGTAGCTGTGTCATACTTTTACCACCATGCAGATACATTTCATGAATAGAAGGGTTGGTTTAAGCTGCTTGAGAAAAAAGACATTGTGCTAAAAATGTGGGGTTTTTGACTTGCTTGGCACTCCAGAGCCTTTGTTAGTCACAACAGGGACTTCTGTTAGACCTGGGAGAGAGCTCTTGGGAGAGCAGCATTCTTCAGAATCTGGTCCTACTTTTCCAGACAAAATAAACACAGTTTTGATTTCCATGCGATAATTGAGACACTTTTATGTAGTTACCTCTCTGTAGTCCTGTGGCATCAAAACCTTCTGAGGAGTTTCCCAGGAACAGTGAAAGCTGAACTGGAATGTCACCCGGCACTGTTACCTGGAATAAGAGAATTTTAAAGGAAGTCCACAGGTTCAAGTGGATAGCAGAAAATTGCTTCCTTGTTTCCTGGCAAGAAGCCTGTGTTGCCTCTCAAATGAGTCAGCCGGTCCCGGTGTAACTGTTGTGATGATCAAAGTCACGGCGAGAGTTGAAGCGTTAATGTGTGTGTCTACGTTTAAGACGGGAGAGTTGACCCTGTCCCTCCTTGCCGATCCTTCTGAGGGAGTTCTTGCTTTCTTAACTCGTTTTGCCGTGGTGGCTTAACCCGCTGCTCCCGTCTGCTTTGCCGGGGAAGTCACTAGATGGCACCATGACACAGATGTGCCTCCTCCCTTGCAGTTTCTCCTTGGAGTTTGGGCCAAGGAGCTGAACGCCAGGGAAGACTACGTGAAACGGGGAGTGCAGGGGAAGCTGAACAGCGCCACCCAGAAACAGACGGAGTCCTACCTGAGGCCACTCTTCAGAAAACTCCGGAAAAGGGTGAATCACCTCTAAATGTCACTTTAACCCAGCGTTAGTACCCTTTCCTAAGGCAGTGTTATCTTCTCTGAAGGAGAGGGGATAAATAAGCTGGTCGGAGTTTCTGTCTCTAGAGCCCACGATGCCTAGTTCTGACTTCATCTTAATCAGTGAAGTCTTCTGCCTACCCACTGCTTTTCCAGGTGTTGCTTAAAGCATCACCTGTTCATTTGGTTGCAAATGTGATAGGGAACTGGGGTTGCATTTTGCACTTTGCCACCAACTACCAGGTGTAACCGCTTAATCTCTCCTGCTTCAGATCCTTCATCTAAATAACAAAGTTGTTTTCCTTCATTAAAGTCCTCAAGCAAGGGTAGTTGTTAAACTTTGTATAAATGCTGAGTAGGATGATTTTCCTGAGCTGCTATTCTGAAGTAAATGTCTTTTTTTTTTTTTTTTTCTTTTTCCCCTCTCTCCTGTAGACACTTCCTGCAGACATCAAAGAATCAATAACAGATATTATTAAATTCATGTTGCAAAGAGAATACGTGAAGGTACGTTTGTTTGCACTCTTCCAGCGTGTTCAGACTGTCTGGTTGTAAAAGATGGAGTTTATTGCTTAAACATTCCAGTGTTTTTAATTTTGAAGATATGTAGCTGGAAATACAACATCTACTCAAACAAAATGAAAAACTGCTGATAAATGTTGGGCTCCACGTAGTGTTTGATCCACAGCCCGATAGAAGATCTTCTGAGGTTCAGGAAACTGCATATCTTTGCAAACGTGAAGAGAGTTGTTCTGAGAAATTGCAGAGGAATCCTCTATAGGAAACCTGATATTGTAAGGTTAAATGAAGGTATTGAATGAATAGTAATAGGTGTTGATTAATTAATTATGAATTAATTGAGGTGAACTGAGTTACTGAATATGAGATACTGTCCCATTCTTTGGCTATGCTCAGATTAGCTGGCCTGGTAAGGTTGAGGTAAGTTAAAGAAAAGTTTTTTTTGGACAAAGGCTGCTCACTGGAGGAGGCAGAAGTACTTTGGGACACAAGATCAAAGGCAGTGTTAGGTTTTGTTTGTAGTTGCCTTCCGAAGTGGAACTCAGATACTGGTAGCATTTGCTCAAGCAGCTCGTGCATGCAGAGGAAATGGAGCTGTGTTTTGCCTTTATATTTTTAGGATTTCTTATTGTTCTTTTTAGGACTTGGGATAATTTGTCAAGTAATCAAGCAAACCTGTTTTTGATACTTTAAAAAAAAACTTTAGATGGCCTAAGGCAAGTTTAGTCCAAATCATGTGAAACTAGAACTGAACGAGTGGGATATATGATAGTGAGGTTTTGGTTTGGGGCATTTTTTTTTCTTTTGGTTGTCATTATTGTATGGAAATTCCCTTTCCAATGCCTTCTCAAAGTAAGGAGCGTGCAGCAGTGTGGTTTGTCTCTGGGTTAATCAGGTGTGCTCCTTTTTCCTGGAGGTGCTTGGCTTTAAGTAAATTTCACACATTTTTGAGGACTTAAATGTACCTTTGGAAGTTTGGTGTTTTTTTTTTTTTTTAATTAGGCTAACGAGTCTTGTGCTTTTAAAGATACTCATGCTTTTCCATTTTGCTTCCTGAGAGACTTGTCTCTTTTTGCCTGCTGTTGTCTCCTGTGCTTTTTTGCTTTGTGCATCCTAGTGAATACTGCCAGCAACAAATTCTTACTGCTTTGTTAGTTGAAATGCTTGAAAGATTTTAATTTTGTGTTGACAGCAGGCAAGTGCCAGAATGGAAGTTGCCCACTCAGCCTTAATTAACCCTGTTGTGACAGTGCTGGAAGGGTCTTTAATTGCATGTCCACATACTGTGTTTCATGATAAAACTGTATTTAATTCAGCAAGTAGGTATTTGACTAAGACTGTTCAGATTCTGCCACATGTAGATGATGACTGTGTCCTGTCCTTTCTCCAGGTTTACTTTTAGCTCTGTCTGCAGCCCCCTGCCTTGTTCATTATTCACCTCCCAGTTTGCTCAGTGCCAGTTGGAAAGAATCTGCACCCACTGGCCATGATTGCTACTTCTTATTGTCTGGTTTCTGAATAGGAGGTGATAAATGAACTCTTTTATCAGTGAGTTTTGTAGCTGCTCTCTAATAGAGAAGGAATGTCCTGCTCCACATCCTTGAAGTTGTTTGTGTAATTGTATCTATAAACCCCAGTGTCTGTCCTCCTCACTTGCTGGTTCTCACTTGTCATGATTTTTTTTTAGCTTTATACTTCTCTTCCTTTCTCCCTTTCTTTCAGTTAATTTTCCCTTTTGAGTTTTATCCCTGTTCTTCCCCAGGGATGTTTTCTGCTACAGCTTTAGAAATGGGATCTGCTATCTTGATCAGGAAATTTCATATTGATTTACTGCTGCTACGTCTCTGGTCATAAACGTTGTCACAAATGTGCTTATTTAACCCGAGGTGTCTGAGTTGAAAACAATCCCAGTAAAAAGTGAATAAAACCCAGAAAAAAAAACTAATAAAAGTCAGTTTTAATGAAGGTAACCAGGCTGCCTTATCCAGTGCTTTTTTTTTTTCATCAGTCGAGTCCATAGTCCCTGCTTCCCTCAGAGTTCAGCACGAACTTGGGAAGGTGTGTTGTGTAACTGGTTGATGTTGTGCAACGAAACCCGGATCAGAGAGACTGGAGCGGGTGTTTCACTGTGTCTGGCAATGCAAAACTGCTCTGCTCCCCGCTGCTCTTCCTGGTTTTGCTAAGAGTGCCTGCACTTACTTCTTCAGGCCAACGATGCCTATCTCCAGATGGCCATCGGGAACGCTCCCTGGCCCATCGGTGTCACCATGGTCGGCATCCACGCGAGAACGGGCCGGGAAAAGATCTTCTCCAAGCACGTGGCCCATGTCCTGAACGATGAAACCCAGAGGAAGTACATACAGGTAATGTTGGCTTTGGAGATCCAGCAGGTTTGCTTTTGAAGTTGGGGGATCTTTGAGAAATGTTAATTTCAACTGATGTGGTAGAAGAGCCCTAGAAACGGACAGTTGGTTTAGTTTGGCTCAGGAATAACATCCAGTTAATGGGTAGCTCATCCTGGACCTGAATGTTCTTCAGTTCTGGGCAAGGAATGGTGCAGAGGATTTCTCTGAATAACAAAGCAGTTGTGGATCATGCCAGATTCTCCCGAGGGCCTTCACTGCTTAACTCACGGTTTAAACACCACACACAGAATTTAACACCATGACATGCAGTCCTTCTGACTATTTCTGCAACTAGATAAATGCGTTCATAAATTAATTCAATTTTCAGACACGTCTCTCTAACAATGGGGGCTCAAAATTCCAGGTTTAGTTCCTCCTGTGCATTTTCATAGTCACGTTGTAAACTTTTGGTTGTGGAACTAGTAGCAGTGCTGTTTTTCTCCTCTGACCTTTCAGCATAGTGGGTGGACAGGTCTGTGGAAACAAGTCTTCTCTCCTTCTATTGTTAAATGTATTTGCCTTTTGCCAGCTGCAGTTTTGTAGAGATAAAGTCTTCCTGGCTTAACTCTGAATCCTCCAGAGCAGCATCTTTGAGCTCATAACTTCTGGCAGGGGAGGCTTTCAGAAATTTCTTCCTGATGAAGAGGCAGGACTCCTGTTGCTTTTCGTCTTCTGCAGATGTTTGCAAGAAAACTGCTTGCAAAATGCAACTTCACCTTTCTACTCTGAGCCTTTTTGTTTTGGGGCTACAAGTATCACTTTTGCTTTCTCTTCAACTATGGTTTTCAATATCATTTTTCCCTTAGTGAGGAGCTGCCTTCCTTGATGAGTGTCTAATGACAGGGACAGGACTCTGCCATCTTGGAGTACAATGTCACTGCTAAATTACATTTCCACCACAGCAGTTTGCTTTCTTCCTTGTGAGACTTTTCTCCCCGACTTGAAAGAAAATAATCACAGGGTTTCTGTCACGTTGGTTTTTGGCAACTGGTGCCTTGAAAGAATGAAAAGTCCACATTCTGCCTTTCTCCTTGATTGCATCTTCAGTTTGCCTCTGGAGTATCACGTGTGGTACCACATTTCTCCTCCCGAGAAATGTTTGGTTCTCTCCTTGGGTGCGCAGCTTGTTTTGGTGTCAAAAATTGCTATTTGCTCTTCAGAATTACTTTTGATATTCGGCTTTCTTTTAAATATATTTTGTTGTGGTATCATTTTCTCCCTTGGTGATAAAGAGGCGTTAAAGCATTTCTGTGATCCTTCACTATGAATCTCACCACGTTTCTTTAGTTATGCACCAAACTTCTCTAATTTTGGAGAGAACTTGACAAATTGCAGGGAGAAAGGTTAATACAAGTTAAATGGAGAAAACCACCCCCCCCCCAGAAAAAAAAATCCCAACCCCAAAATAGCAACCTATTCTTATTTAATTCTTCTCGTTAAGCTTAAAAATACTGTGGGCCATTAAGTTTGTGTGACAGCTGCAGCTTTATTACAGAATTATCCTTGTTCTGTTAATTCCTAGGGGCTGAAGAGGCTCATGACCATTTGCCAGAAGCACTTCCCAACAGACCCATCCAAGTGTGTGGAGTACAACGCTCTGTGAGGCTCTGCGGGGGCCAGGGAGTGACTCACATTTTTGCCTCCAAGACCCAGAGAGGATGGAAGAGGCAGAGCCTGTGCTTGGACACCGACAGGAACTTTGTGAAAAAGCAGAAAGCAGGAGATTTTCTACAGCTTCCTTTTTACAAGCCCCGTTTATTTAGGTTCATTTTTAAATCTGTGCTTTATGTTGAACACAACCAGTATACAGCAAAGGAGGTGGGTTTTGAAGAGGTTAAGACCAGGACAGTGACCAGGGGACAGTGCACGAGAGCCTTGCTTTTATTTCAGTTTGTTATTCAGACTGAACTGTTTCCCATATTTTAGAGCTTTAGTTGAGACTCAGCCCTGCAAGGAGCATATGTGGAGCTTTTTTTTTTTTTTTGGCTGCTTTTGCACTGGAGACTGATGTGGGGAGATGATTAGAGGGAAGCAGTTGAATCTGAAGCTTGGTTATTTCTGTAAATATAAAGACTTTATTGGCTAATCTTTCATGTGGTATTTATCAGGAATAAAAAAAAAAAAGGTTTGTATATTTCTCAGCCTCAGTGCAAAGAGTTTTTGATCTTAAATGCATCTGATTTGGCTTTTTTTTTTCCTTTTTGGTAATGACATTTTTAATATAAACCTTCTGGGCTTGGGGGAAGTAATCTTATGGCTCTTGGGGCTTTCAAATCCCATTTTTATACATCTGGAGAAAATTTTAGTCTGCTGGGCATTGCAGAGAAAATAATTAGGACCTCCCATGACCACGAACAGTATTTCTGGCAGCCACAAATCTTTACCATTGTGCATCTTGACTGGGAATGGCGAAGAAACTCACGGGAATGATGATCCAATTCTGCACGAACAATGAAACAGCGAAACTTTTGTTAGCTTTTAGCAGAACCACTTCCTGAAGGAATGTGTCAACATTCTAGTGTATGGGTTTGTCTGGGTCCTCACCTTGGCTGGCAGTGTGGAGCAGGAGCTGGCACCCTCTTCTCAAGGAATTTCCCCCTCTCCTGTGGGTGCTTCCCGTGTCCCATGGCACAGCGAGATGTGGGGCCGGGGGATTTGTGCGGGCAGCGAGTTTGGAGGAGTATCTTGAGGAACTTCAGGTTCTTCTGGAGACTCTTACATTCTAAAGTGCCTCTCTGGACACGGGAGATTTTCAGCCTGGAGTGTTTGACCCCAGAGAAAATGTCAAGAGCTTAAACAGTTTGGAAGTAATAAAAGTGAGGCTGCTGAGACCTCACCGGTGCTCGGGGAGGGGCCTCTGGGGAGTGGGTGGGGGTTTGTGGGGGGAAGCTGGGCAGATGTCAAGAGCATGGAAGGGTTTCATTAACAGTGGTGTCTGGTGATTCCTTTTTTTTTTTGCAGTGCTCCGCACAGATATTCTTTGGAGCCTTTATTATAACAGGAAACGTGCAACGCTGCAACCTTATCCCTCTCCCCACCCAGACGGTTTCCTGAGCTGTTTCTAAATCTTCATCTTGACCTTAGTTTTGAACTCTGTAAATAATTGAGGGACAATATTGTCCCTTGTTCAGAAGAGCTGTAATTTCCCTGGAAACTGCAGCGAGTGAGTAGCCAGGGGATGGTTTAAGGAGCATTCTATCATCTGCTTTAGGGGGAAGTGGATTCCTTGGGGCATCTGTAATAGTGCTACACAGATTTTTTTTCCCCTCCTGCTTTAGAGCCAATTATTGAGGGGAGTTTTTAATGGTACCCTGAGTGCCGGTTTGAGCGTGGATGCGCCTCCTGTAGGGATGTCAGTTTGGGGTTGGAATGTCTCAGCCTGATCAGGGTTTAAAGAATGTAATTCAAGCAACGTGCCTCCTCGCTGACAGTCCCTGAAATACGGCCGCCTCGCTCGGATGAATCCGACGACGGAATAGCTTTATCCCCCTGCAATCCGTGGAATGGCGCTGCGCGGGGAGCGGAGGAGCCGAGGAGCGCTTTCTCACGGCAGATCCGTGTAAGAGTTTCCAGCTGCCCGGCACGTGAGAGCCAGCCTTGGTCCCGTGGGGCGGTGAGCCGGGGGGACGCTGTTACGGCAGCTGCGTTTCATCACCGGTTGGAGGCTCTTTGCAGCCGGATGGCCCCAAATTGCAGCTACCAGACTGTGATCAAATAGTTAATAATGCCTCTCAGCCAAAAAAAAAAAATCCCAAACCCACCCGAGTCTGGTTTAGGGACGAGTGGGTGGGGTGCAGCTGTCACGCTGCTCAACAGCTTTTGTGGGGAGGGTATGTTTCAGTTTAGCAGTTCAGACTTCTCCCTGTGGGCTCCTCCAGATGTTTATTTCTGATAATTCCAGCATTAGGCGGAAATAATTCCGCTGAATCCGAAGACTTGGGATGAATTCGTGCATTTGCCATAGCAGTGTCTGGAGTGGTTTTGGGACTTCAGTGGCCCCAGCCATTTGTTGCAGCCCCTGACCCCTCCCCAACCCCAGTGGTGGAAGGGGCTGTGTGAGGTGAACTCTAAAGGTTTATGGTTTGAGGTAATACGTGATATGGGTATTATTGTGGCTGATGGTACTTAAATTTGACTCCCTATTAGCTGTTTGTCTGTACTGCTGGAAAGGCTCTTAGGGCAGGTGTATGTGGGATCAGTTTATTTTGATGGAGGAACTGGGTTTTTTCACCACCGTGACTCCAGTCTTGCCCAAAGAATAAACCTGGCTGGGATGTAAAAGACTTCACTTCTCAGGGGTAGAAGGGACTGTTCCGACTCCTGGACTCAGGGGATAAGGACACAGTGTAGTGCCTTCCAATAGGGGTGGCATGAGGGTGGCAGTGCTGGTGTCGGATTTGGAGCAGGCTGTCCCAAAAGCTGCTCCTGAGGCGGTGTGGAGCTGGAAAAGGTGCCTGCAGCACTATGGGAGCCACTGGCAATAAATCTGAGCTAAAGTCCCAGAGTTCCAGGGGTGTTTGAAACTTTGATCGTGGCTGCTTTGTCCCATCCCAAACCCTCCTGGGGATTTGCTGCCCATGATGGTCCCTCACGCAGCAATGGTGCTTGATGGTCGCGGGGGCTGCCTGGCTCGGGGCTGGTCCCACTGGTGGCTTCCTGTGGGGTGTGGGGGATCACGTGGAAAAAGGCTCCATGGACAGTGGGAATAAAAGGAAAAGAGGTGGAAGCAACTGCGCTGGGAAGTGTGGCTGGGTCCCATGTGAGCATGTGGCTGTTTGCAGTTTGGGACGGCAGGGGGGTGGCTGCAGGGATCACCGCTGCCCAAAGAGGGGAAAACTGGGATTATGTGACATCCCTAACCCTGTGCAGGGGTCACTGCTGCAGGCAGTGACCTGAGCTAGAGCCCTGCCCTGAGCTAGAGCAGCCTCTGCTGGGGTGGGTTCCCTCAGGAATTCAAGGAGCAGGCAGTTCCTTGGAGCACTGGGGAACGTGCTGGTGCTCAAGCCAGTCCCACAGCTGCTGGCGTTGCTGCAAATGGCCTTGCAGCAACTTGGCATCCCATTCATACAAGTGAGTGTTAATTTTAGTTATGTGTGTTGGAAGTATGGATTATATACCCATGACTGTTTCCTGTGCTGGTGGGAATTCCATCACACCGTTTTTCTCCTGTGCTTGGGAGAACACGCAACAGAGCAAGCACGGATCTGCTGAGCACAAGCACCAAATCCCAAGGGATCTCTAAAGGACAGGATTTTTTTGGGGGTAATGCCCAGTGTTGCCTGCAGTCAGGCCCCCTGACAGCCAAGGAGTGGTGCCTCACGGACACCCTGGCCAGCTGTGTGCACATCTGGAGGGGTGCATCTCGCAGGGGTGGCGGTGCAGTCGCCAGGGAAGAGCTGCCCGAGTGCTGTGCCCTCCCGAAGAGACCACGGCAAGGTTTCATTTTGAAAATGCTTTAATAAGGAAGTGTTGACAACACCGTTTTGCAAAATGTAAAGGTAACTATACAAATTCTTAATACAAAAAGAATAAATTAAAAGCAGATCTTTTTTAATTCTGCAACTTTTTCTACAACATACATATTTTTTTTTCCTTGATTACAGTTGAACAGAATCCAGTAAAATCATTTTCCATGCTCTAAAGTTCAATTTCAGGAGAGACCTAATTTTTTTTTCTTCCTTTTTTTTTTTTCCTTTTTTTTTTTTTTTAAACTAGAGAGTCCATTTTACACAACCTGTAATAAAACTATTGACATTAATATATATGTAAAACTTTACATCTAGTTAACTAAGCAGTAACTGGTCATCTGATAGCACCTGAATGGGGATCGGCTATGCCTGAAACTAAAACTAATACAGAGTGAAAACAAATTGGACTGTTTCAACATTTTCAACACTCGACTGCATATAATACCATTTAAAAAATAAACCCTGCCTCCAGCACAGCCCAGTGCATGGACTGTCCACTGGCTCCTGCCCACACAGAGGGAGCGTCAGACAATGGAGACGAAGAACGCGGTTGTGGCTTTATGGCAGATGGAGCCTTGAAAAATAAAAAAAGGTAAAGGAGGGGTTAAGTTGGTAGTCAAGTGCTTGTCTATAATAGCTATGTATATACCCCTCCGTGTTATACTTAAATATGTTAATCTCATATGATTAACATTTTATGTACATTTGTGTTTAATTGAATTGAGCTAAACAGTAAAACCTGTTTTACTTAATCTGTCTTTACTACCAGACTGGCTGCTCACGTGTGCCTTGATTGCAAACCAGAAAAGCAGAACACAAAGCAAAACTCAATCCGTTTCTAGAAAGCTTTTTCTCCACTCCAGCCTGTTTGCAATTCAGGCTAAACATTTTATTCCCACCCCCCCCCTCTAATTTCAGGGCTGCCACCTTTTAACCTTTGCTGCAAGACTGCAGAGCTGGTCTTGGAGGAATTAATGTTTCTTCCTGTAGTGCCCAGAGGCGTCATAGTGCCGCTGTTGTTGAATTCTTTTTAATTAAAAGAAGGTACACATTAAAAAAAAAAAAACAACCCAAACCACTTACCAGGGAAATTAAAAAGAAAACAGACAGTTGCTCAGAGCCCCTAAAAATCCTTGGGCTAAATTACTCGCTGCTGCTTAATTTGGTCCTTATTTAATCCTTTCACTTTAGCTTCCAAATCTTATCAGTAAATGTCATTAATCAGTACTATCTCTTATCCAGCTAAAAATCCAATTAGGAGCTTGAAATAATTCCCGTGTTAAAGACCCCAATGCACAAAGAGATGGTGAAAACAGCATTTTGCGTGTCCAAGTGAAGGGTGCAATCTCACCGCTGGCTGTTCTTCCAGAATTGGATACAAGGCTTCAATTACTGTCACAGGGTGTTACACTCCCAGGCTGAATCTTCAAGGAGGTCCAAAAGCACAAGGTTTGTGTGGCCACCTTTGAAAACCCCTGGCCAGTGGTGTTCTTTTTTTTTTTTTTTAATATAAGTAAATAATTTATGCTTCATGTGTGAACGTGAAAGGGTTTCCTTATCACAGAATCATAGAATTGTTTGGGTTGGAAGGGATCTTAAAGATCATCTCGTTCCAACCCCCTGCCCCGGGCAGGGACACCTTCCACTAGACCAGGTTGCTCCAAGCCCCATCT